TATGTTCTTTAAATATCAGTTAACTGGCCATTTACCGTCCATTTTTCTGGACCCGGGAAGTGGCATACAATAATCAATCAGAACTATGATATGTATGTACCACTAGATCGAAATACTAGGTCAACATTTTCTTCTAACTTTCATCGCAAGATATGTACTTCTGCTGATGGAGAATTTATGGAAAAAATATAGACAGTGTACGTCTTTTCCTCCTTTTGTAGGAATGTGAGTTGTAAAGGGGAGAAAGAAATTATATATGTTTTCACTACGAGAAAGAAATCGAATTAGAGTAAATACTGTTGTGTATTCGATTCTAGAATTTTTGGTATAGTTTTTCACCTTGGAAATACTAAAGTCATTTGCTTCGTGATACATCTGTTAATGTAGTACAGTTTTTTAATTGTAGATAGTTTTAGTCATTACGCATTTATTTTTTCGTCGCTTTGTTCTCTTAATGCCTCCAAAGAAGCAGTTATTATCTACCGGTGCTGATGAATCTACTAGCAGGTATATTCATGAGAAAAATGAGCCTAGAAATGAAACTTTTCTCCTTTTTTATGCACAGATATTTTAAAAGTGAAATATCAAGTCGAAAGAAGCCAGTTCGAAAATTATCGGCAGTTACACACGATGAATCTGAAGGAGAAATGCACACTGAAAATGAAGTAAAAGCAAAGTAAGTATCGAAATTGCTTGTGTTTCTAATTATCGGTGGTTCTCTTATAGGAAACCACGGAAAAAATTAACAATTGAAGTGACCGATGGCCCAATTGATCAAGAAAATAAAATAACAAAATGGGAACCACCACATTGGACAGTTAGTTGAATGCTGTATTTTTTGTGCATATAACAGCAAATAGTAACTTCTTAAGAATTTTGAAAACACAAAGGCATATATCACCTCTTGATAAGTCATAGGCGATTCTGCAAGTTGGTTACGGTCTTCATGCCTGTGTATCAGTCGACTTAAACTAACAACGAGGTTTAACGACTTTTTAGCTTGACAATGCTTATTTAATTGTTATTTTACCACGAAGAAACAAATTTACAAAATCATGAAAAAATTCTATTTTTGCCGCAGAAGGCGGCCACGCTAGTGACGACTGTTCAAAAATGAAGTTCTTCATAAAGTAAAAGACATTAAATAAAATATCAGAGATTTCTCGGTCAATTACGCTTATTTAGGTATTACTTTTTCGTGCAGTAAAATTTTTTTTAAATATTAGTTTACAATTTTCTCATGAAAAACATATTTTAGTTCCAGATGTCGAAACAACAATTAGTCCCTTCGAATTGTTGCCGCAACAATCCTAACTTTCAGCGATGATCAAACAACATTTTTCAATTATTGGTGGGGGATTGGCCGCCTCGCGGTCCCCCGCTCGCGACACTCCTGGAGGTTATACTATATATAAGAATTTAGCTATATGCCAGTAGATAATAGATACATGAAAAAGAAAAATACAAGAGGACAGAAAAAAAAAGAATGACCTGCATATATGTACTGATGGGTCGAAGGACGTACGACCAGCTGGAAGAAACAGAGAATAAAGACCAAGGGAAAAACAGCTATATTTTATTTAGCTGATTTTTAACTGATTTTCGGATTTTTTGTGATTTTTGGCTGATTGGAATCAGCTGTTTCCCCCCTTGCAAAAAAACTATATTGAGGGTCACATCGGTAACAGTGAAACAACCGCCACGAAGGTTTATCTGAAAGTGTATATTTTCTGTCTATCCGCAAACAAAAACTTCCACAAGACATAACAAGTCTTGAGGATAAAAAATAACAGAGTGTTCAGCCCAAAAATCAAGTGAGGCTCGATCCTCACGAGTCTCAATGGCTCCGCCGCCCCTGTTCTGAAGAGCACACTTTCTTCTATCATGCTATGTGTAAGAAAAAATTTTGAATGTATAGGAAAGGAGAGAAAAATTTATGAACCTAAAAAATTGAGATTTTCTGGACTTTGAAAATACAAAAGAACGACTTCATAATTTTTTCAAGGAAGATCATGGAGCGGTCTCATTTTATAGCCCAGACTTTCTTCTACATTAGACTGTGTTCGGCTCAAAATGAAAACTTTTCTGCAAAAAGGAGAAGAGAAGATATCCTTAATACACAACCAAGAGTGTAAAAGAAACAACTATGCAACAGTAAAACTTTCCTTCCATTTTTAAGCTCTTCTTTTTCGCTGCATCTACACAAAGCTTTCCTCTCTCTTCTCTTGTTTGATTCTCGTTGAATCGACTCTCTTGTTCTTCGTTTTGAATTCTTACAATTCAAATGTGCGCATTAACACTCTTTGGACTTTTTTCCTACTATCTGCAGATAAACAGTTTTAAAGTATATAGCTTCTTCAATAGGAGTTCAATTATTTCATTTGCTAATCTGACTATTTCAGAATTCTGTCTTTTAATGACTTTTAGTAAAATCACGCTTTGCGTAAGAAAAATAGGTAAGAATGCAATCTCGCTATACGGGGAAAGAAATAGAATATTTAGATAAGTAAAAATCGAAAAAAACAGTTTTAGCGAAGTGGAAAGTGGTGAAGTTGGAAGCTTCATAATGTCTTGATAACTTTTTATTTTTACGACGTAAGTGTGCATTTTTTAAAACAAGAATGAATTCGATTCTGTGAAGAATAGTAAAAGTTGCAGTCAAAATACTGAGAGGCTTATTTGTTTTAAAATACCTATTAAATAAGTTGTTTTAAAAATTTCAATTTTAGGAACATTGGAAAAATATCCTTCAGATGAGAATCATCAACAAACATTTAGAGCCAAAAGGATGTGATACAATTGGTGAAACAATCACTAATGACAAGGTAGTATTAATCGCTTGTTTGAGATGACATTATTTCATATTTTTCGTATGTCTAGATTCGTCGTTTTCATGTATTAGTTAGTTTAATGTTATCTAGTCAAACAAAAGATACCATAACTATACCAGCAATGGATCGTCTTCGAGATGCAGGTTTAACCATTCAGTATATTTTGGATATCTCAGATGATGAATTAGGACGAATTATTTATCCAGTTGGATTTTGGAGAGTATGTATGCTGGATGTATCTTATTACAGTTACTTTTCAACTTACAAACGTTACATTTTAGCGAAAAGTTCAATATTTGAAAGAAACATGTAAAATTCTTCATAAAAAATATGATGATGATATTCCGGATACATTAGAGGGTTTATGTTCATTGCCAGGTATATATGTATATATCTGATTAATATTATTGTGATTAGATGTATCGTTGCTCTTGTTATTCAAGGCGTTGGTCCCAAGATGGCCTATTTAACAATGGATTTTGCCTGGAAAAATAACGTAGGAATTGGTGTCGACGTACACGTTCATCGAATAGTAAATCGTCTTCAATGGGTTGAAAAACCAACAAAAACACCTGAACAAACACGTCTGGCATTAGAATCATGGATACCAAGGTATGACTATATTGATCCAATCTCATGAAGGGAGTTACAGTTCTTTGGTGTTTTATAGAGAACTATGGAATGAAATAAATCATAATTTTGTTCGATTTGGACAGACTGTTTGTCTTCCAGTGAAACCACGTTGTTCATCATGTTTAAATAAACAAATTTGCCCGGTAGGAAAGAAATTAAAAACATAAAAACTAAGTACATTTTTTAACTGTTTTACTTGTTTGTACATATTTGTAACTTGAACTGTATTATTGTGATATTCTGAAATAAAAAGAAAGTTAACTGTACTTTTGATTTGTAATTTTTATTCTCAGATATAATCAGTGAACTTCTGTGAAGATTAGAGTACAGAGTTGAAGATACACAAAGGACATAGTCAATGGCGCTTACTGGTTACCCAAGGATGAACTTCGACTTCAATTTTTCAGTATCACATCGATCTAAACGTTAAAAATAAAGAAAATAAAAGTTATGTTTTATTGTTATTTTCCGGTCTAACAAGGTAAAATTTACCCTTTTATCTTACGAGGGAAGGTTTCCAAATGTCGCATCGATGGTGACCCCATCCTCTGGCCACATGAAGATCTCAATGAGACTAGAAAAAGCTAAGAATATTTCGTGTCCACCGTCCTTCCTTGTCGAAATATCAGATTTTTACTCGCTGCATAATAAGAACTACTGTTTTATCAATGTTTTTTCTTTTTCACCCTCTGTAAGGCGTTGAACAACCAAAACGTTTTCACAGATAGGCCTGAGTGTTGGATAGCTGTACCAAAAGTTCCAGCCTATTCGACTCTAAAGATCTTAAGCTATTGAATTTTTCGTTCACATAGGTAGTGGAAGGGATTTTCACTCCTATTTTCACATAAACATTCGCGCATTGTGAAGGACATAAGATGTGGTCAGGCATGCCTTCTTACGATCTGTCCCTTCAGGAATACTTCACGACCTTATGAGATACATCTGGTTTGGCAGTGACTAATTCGAAAGCGTTCATCAAGTCTCAAGTCTGTTTTATTCTCGATGCAAGCTCATGTCATCACAAAAACTATAATTCCAATCCCTATCGCTGTAGTTAGTGTTAGCAAGTTATCTGCTTCGAACACTTCTTTGTTAGCTATCATATTTATTAGTCGAACTGTCAGACCTTTTATGTGTGTAGTCAAGTTTATATGAAAATTCCTTGTACTACTTATATGAATGAAAAATTCGATACCTTAAGATCTTTAGAGTCGAGTGGACTAGAACTTTTTGTACAGCTATCCAACACTCAGGCCTATCTG